AGGTAGCTAATGCAAACGTTTCTCTTTCTGTTTTGATGGTTCTGAAAATATACTGCTAACATATCCGCAGGAAGTATTTAATGAAACATTTCTCGAGTAAAGCTTTTGATTTTTCTTCTCCAGCAAACAGTACAGATGTATAATATTTCTAATGAGCATCATTACTCCTGCATTGATGCAGTGCCAAATGAGCTCATTGAATTTTAAAAAAGGCACAGTTATTTAAAGAAAGTGATTTGGGCATTAAATCTGCATCAAAAATCTCATTGAGACTCACATCACAGCAATTAAAGCACATTTCCCAAGCCCATTAGCAATTAAATGGATAGTGTTGGGGTGAGGCGGTTCAGATTAGAGTTCTATAAACGTAGGGGAGAAACATACTGTGTTAGTATACTCCATATGAAGTGGTTGGGTCACACAGAGCTCACATAAGAGGACAGAAAGCTCAGCTGCTTCAGTCTCAGCCTGAACAGATGGTAAATGTACAAACAATGGAGCCATGAGAACATGAGAACAACCTACTAAGATATTTACCACTGAATGCGGCTGCGAGTCTACCTAGCCATACTAAATTCAGTTGCACCAAACCCCTGCCAAGATATTCTCTCCTTTCCTGCATATGGCACATTCTCTTTTCACAACTTATCTTTATTTTACCTCCCAATCCTTGTTTCTTTTGATCCTCTAGAAGGAAACCAGGGGGCCTTTGCTGGGGAATTTAATTTCTTGACTCAGGACTAAGCAGTGACTGTGCTAATGAAGGAAGCACACAGTTCAGGACTATTGCTATAGTGCAGTGAACAAGAAATCTTGCCAACACAAACATGATAAGCTCTTCCTGTCCTGGTTCTTGACAGAATGGTGAAATTGTGAGATTGTTACAGCAGTGAAAATCCCTCAAGTGAAAAATACAGCTTGCATTTCTTGGCAGATATGAGACTAGACACATCATGACAGTACCACAACACATGACAGCAGCCAAATTAAAAAATACAACAACAAAAAAAAGGAGGTACATTTAAAAAGCAATGGCAAAACATTTACTTGGATATTTTTAAAGTATTGCAAGATGTTTCTGCCAAACAATATAGCACTTTTAAAACCCAATTCTTATTTACCTGCCCAGGCTTTTTTGTTTAAGTGAACTGTATTGTACACGACATTCTATCCTATAAGTGGGTTTTTCAGGAAAAAAGTTTCAAACAGCTATTGTAATACACACTAATAATAACAAGAACAATTAAATTGTTATGGTGAAGCGCTAGGTAGGACCCAATGTGCAGAGGCAAGGGAAGGTTCAAGTAGGGCTTTATTAAATAATAGAGAACAAGACTAAAAGGGAAAAATACATAAGCTCATCCTGACAAGAGAAACAAAGAAGTCCAAAAAAACTAAACAGTAGGTCAGGGAGCAGGGTAAGAAACTAAAGCAAGACTGGAGAAACCAACAAAAGAACTGCCAACAGGCCAGGGTCACAATCACAAAGGAACAAACAGGAGACAGCGTCAAACTTACAAGAGTACATGGACAAACAGGGTGTGGCAAAAGGAGAGAGCAAGCAGAGGACAGGGGGCAACAAGGCGCGGAGACAAAATGAACCAACAACCATTGTGAGGGAAGTGATGAGGATATATCGACGGGAGACCAGAGGATAACAGGCAGCAGGTGGAAACCATGAATGGTGATTGTGAACAGGGGTAAAGCTGGGGCAGGTAACATAGGACAGGAAGTCTAACCAAAAATAAATGCACAAAACAGGAAGCAGGACACAAACCACAACATAAATAACACATGGAATTAAGTAGCAAGCAAAAAAGTGGAAGCAAACCTAAATATGTCTCGCTTTGCTCTTGGCAACATCTCAGCCAGCTTCATGAGGTGGCCACCTGGAATGCTTTTCAGTTAAAAGAAGTTTCAGTTGTCAGAAGTTAAAAAGTGGAATTCCTTGCCATCTTAACATGTTTGTGGCCATCAGCTGTTTTCCAATGTAGTGCTGGTCTACAGAAAATTTTGACCTATCTGACTGCTGTGATAATCTATGTGATGGCAAGAACCGCTCAACTAAGTAAACAGAAATGACAGGCCATCATTACTTTAAGACATGAAGGTCAGGCAATCCAGAAAGTTTATTCAAATGCAGTTGCAAAAACCATGACAGGGTGTCAACAGCTATACACAAGTTAAACTTAAGGCTTTTAAAAACCACTTTAAATGGTATTCAAGACCAAACCTGGGATGGAATTACCAATAGTGAAGAAAATACCAGTGACTGAGTGCTGCGTCAAATGACCTGGAAGGTGTTTCTAATCTGTTGACTGATATTTTATGCCAGACTTTTTTGTACATGTTATCACCTAAGTTTTTATTCCAAAGACCACACACTGCATCTTTCACCCTGACACAGGAACCAAGACTGTGCTAGAACATTAAAATAATCTAAAATGAGACATAATTAACACCTTCCAAACACCTTTGCACAACACTTTAATTTCAGTTTGCTAGATCCCGTCTCATGACGTCAAAGGAGTGAGAAAAAAAAGGTTCACACTTTTACTGCCTCCCAGACAGAGAAACACAGATGCAAAGAGGAAAACTTATGCCGAATGTCAAATCAGATAGTGAGCAAATGTGGGGGCCAGGTGTACATCAGCTAGCTGTGATCACCAGATGTTAAATCAACAACTCAGATGGCTGCCACTGATCTGCAGGAGGCTTTCACAGCACATGCCACAGATTCTGTCAAGAATAGTGTCTATGAGACAGTCCCAGAGGAATAATGTCTGCCTCCAACATGGATGTCATTCAGTGCTCACAGTTCACGAAGCAATGCAGTCTGCACAAGCAATTTAAGCTCAAAATAAGACAACTGATACAGAAAATCTGTGTGGACACATCACAATGTGATAGCCAGGGACAATCCTTAAGGCTGACATGCAACATTACCACAGAGAGAGCTCTCTTTCCTGTCCCTTCTCTTCTGTGAAAGAAAATGGAGTTAACAAGGCTGCCTTTGATTGGCAGGTTCACCATATCACAAATCCTTAGCTATAAAGCCATACCTGTACATGTGATGCACAGTATATTTATATATGAACCTCAAAATGTCCAGTGTTTTTGATACAAAGGGAAGATTGATACAACTCAAAAATACACTACTACAATAAAATAACATTTATTGATTACAAGTTCTGTGCTTGCTGCCCTCTGGTTCTGGCTTCACCCAGTGGATCCTCAGCAAAAGCATGAAGAGTTACATTAGATGTTAGCAACTGTAGGTCATGGATACAGATTGAAAAGCTGTGCTCCTAATACTCTACAGGCTGCAAGGACAAGCAAGGAACTTAGCAGTAGTAGGATCAGTGTAGTATTGCAGTTGACTACATCAAAGCTCTCTGCTGAGAGGGAGGGAATATATCACTTTCACAGTGGTCTGTCTGCACTTAGTGGAGCGTATTTAAGTAAAGTGTTGGTAGGTAAAGTCCAAAACATTTGCTTCTTATTTTAAAATCTGATTTATAAAAGGTAGATACAGTCATACACCTCATAAGCTGTAAGAAATGATGGATTCTGTAGCATACTGCAAGTGTTTTTACTGTCAGACTGAGCTTATCCCTCCATCTCAGTAGGGATGTTCAAAAGTGACAGTATTTGGCCCCAGAACTACACTGAGGTGCCATGAGAAACAGTATCTGAAAAGGATTGACATGTCATTCATGTGTCAGTCATCTGATGAAAAAGCACAGTAAAATCATTTCACAAATCAGGTGGACACTACCTATAGCAAATTGTAAATTTTGGAAATGGTTATCCTGATTATTTAAACAGAGAAAAACTTCCAAATAGGCTTCTTTGGTCATTTTTTTCCCCAACAACTGTTCTTTTGTTTGTGTATTACGTTCAGGATTTTTACTATGAAGATTCCTTGGATTAAGACATAAATGCCCTAAGAACAAGAAGTCTACTCTAATACTGGGCTGGTTTGTGCACATCAGAAAATGCTTACCCACTGATTCAGATGTAGTCAAACTCTATTCTGGTTTAAAACATTACATGACCCTAACATCTACTGCCTGGATTTATCAACCTCAGAGAAGCACGAGGAAAAAAATGCATCACCATAAAACGTATGTCCATATTTAAAGTTAAACCATGAAACAAATGATTGAATGTCATAAAATCTGGCCAGTTAACTTCCCAACTGTGCTGCACAAAAGCCATAGAAACATCACAGAAGCTATGACAGCCATAAATCTGAAATTATTTGAGCAAGCAGAAGTTAGGCTTACACACTAACTTGGTGTTTCCTGCTAGACATAGCTTCAGAAAGGTGTAGCAGAACTAAAGAACACAGGGAGCTGAACATTTTCTAACAACCACATGTAATGACACCTTTAGTTGGTTTTACCTGCTTGCAATGTATTTTTAAAATTTATGAAAAGAATATATCAAGATGATCTAAGGCACTTTTCAGTGAGTCTGACTTGCTTTCAATTATCTTTCCTCCTCTCAAGTTATCCCTAAACATTTGACCCTATTATGGTCTACTTCTAAGTACCATAATACAGTAAGGTTACATTCTAATTATAGCTTTCCAATTATGCATTACAGTAATGGCTTTATGAATTCTGCCACTAGGTATTATTGGAGCTCATCTTGTGTTTGTGTTTTGCAACACCAAATAAATCTCACATTATGTTAGAGACAAGTGTGAATTCATGATAAGATTCTTGCTGCCTGACTGGTGTGAAAAACACGTCTCAAAGAGTATTGTGGCTAAGTCCGTGATCATCAGGACTATTTAAAGCAACAGCACCTCAACTACAGAGGGTGAATAACCACCAGGGAGCAGGTGATTGCAGCAGATAAGTTAGGTGTCATATTATAATTATGCAGAAAACAGTAAGGAACCTTCCTGCTGTATATGTAATTAATTTACACAAAGAACATTATGCATTAATTGTACCATGTGTAACTAGATCTCTGTCCTTCTTCTCTAGATCCCTCAGGTGAGCTATGCCTCCACAGCTCCAGAGCTCAGTGACAACACCCGTTATGACTTCTTCTCCCGGGTGGTTCCTCCAGACACCTATCAGGCCCAGGCCATGGTGGACATTGTCAAAGCCATGCACTGGAACTATGTCTCCACTGTGGCTTCAGAGGGAAACTACGGAGAAAGTGGCGTTGATGCATTTATTCAAAAGTCTCGAGAGGATGGTGAGTAATTTCCATAAGTGTCCTGGAGTTTATTCAGATGACTGTGAAAGCAGCTATCACTATTTAAATCTCAAAGTGAACTACTGAAAGTGTTTCCCTGTGAGTGAACAAGCAATTCAGTGTCTACAATATATATTTTTAAACAACATTGAATAAGCAAACTTTATAGTAAAACAAATAATTTAAAGAATCAGTGACTCAGTGTTGTATTTGATTTAATCTGAGAATTAACACACAACTCAAAGCATTTGTTGCTAGGTCCTACAGTACAACTGCTTTTACATTGTCATAAATTGTCATTTAGATTTGATGAATTAAATATGAACACAGAGCTTTTTTTTCACCTTAGTGAATAAAGCTAAAGAATGATTCAAAAACTCACCAGCATACAGAAAATAGCCAGAAACAGAGAAGTTTGATTTTCAAATATTGAGAAGCAGCGACAGTGTGAAAGTGAAGCTGCCCACACAGCCTGGAGCAACATAAGGAGAAAGCATTGTTCAGTGTTGGGAATACAATCCGTTTGGCACTGGAAGCTGCCAGCACACGTTCAGCCTGACCCCTGACCGTTTCTGAAGCAGGATGTAATCACTACCGACATGTGCAGTACTCTCTGTGCCACTGTGTCCCTTTCTTTCCTGCCAGCTCTAAGCTGCTGCCCATCACCAGTCGTACTGGAGAGGCATCAGCAGCACATTACCACCGCAGAGCCCTCCAGTCTGCCCAGCTCTGCTGCCTACTTGCCTAACAATCCATACCAAGGGTGCTCAAAGCCCAACACAACAGGCAGTTCACATTTTTCAGAAAACATCCTGCCATTTTTTTCCTGTTGTTGAATGAATTAAGGCCTAAACTTGTATAAAAATATGTTAGCATATGAAGACAGAAATATAAGAAAACCTCTGGGTAGTCAATGTTAGCAGTGGTCTCTGACGTCATGTAGAGGATGGAAGTATTCTTTATATGGGTGTGTGGAAAGAGGTTCTCAAATGAATTCCCATACAAATTGGTAACTTTTGTATTCAAAAATGTCAATAGGCTTTAAGGGTAGTCAGTATATAATGCATTTTGGTGATAAACAAATGTAAACAAAACCTTGTGCTTCATTTATTTATAATGAAAGGTCTGAAGCATTTCCTTCAGTTTGGTTCAGCTATACATACCGTAGATGTTTTTGGATCTGCTGTTACTTCTGCTTAAAAAAAGTCCCTGAAGGTGCCTCCAGTGCATTTCTATTCCCACTCATCACAGACTTTTATTACATCAAGTCCTCACTGAGTCATGAATGCTCAAAGCCCTGCAAAGTTCCTCAATTTCCAGCTACAGAGATCTCATCCTCTCCCAGGAGTTGTGCCAGATTTAGAGATACCATGTCACAGTCCAGCGCCCCTCCTAAGGTCACACCTTAATTAGAGAGGATTTTATAGGAATCCAAGTCTCGTGTACTCTTAGCATGGTGGTTTGGATGGTACTGTATGTTGTGCTGGGATTAATGAGTGTTTGAGAGGCCTTAATAAAACTTCAAATTAAAAAACTAAGTAAAAAAAACAAAACTATTATAGGTTATTGTATTAATTTAAATATGTCCTCAAAGTCTTTTTTTTTTTTTTACAAAACACAGCTAAACTGTATATACCAATGTGTTGCTATTTATAATCCAGTCTTCTTTAATTTAGGTCTTTGAGACTAAATTGGAACTACTTATTTGTGTCTCATGAGATGAGATCTATTAATTTGTCTGATTCCACATAAAGGTGGGATTTGTGCATTAATGGAGGTGATTTTCAAACACTGTGGTTTACTTTTCAAGAAAAAAGATTTTAAGGGCAGTTACTAACTGTTTGTTTTTGAGTATGTGTATCAGGTTTGTTTGCCCATCTCCGTTAAAGTGTTGTGCACTGTCGTGTCCTGTCTGGTTATGTGAGACGTGTCCAGGATTGTCTCAGTCCTAAACAGGGCTAGTATTGTTTTCATCCAGCAGTATTTGCAAATTGTTCAGCATTTGTCAGTTTCCTTTTGGCCCATGTCATTTCTTGAAACAGGAAAACTTTAATACCACCACACAACAGCTCTAAAGGTCGACAGTGGAGCTCCCGCTATGTATATTCATATTCTGTGACTTGAACACAGTTATAATGATATGTAGATACCATCATAGTCCCACAACATTATCAAAACATTTTTTTCTATCACAGTATCATGAAATTAAACATATCGTTACATTCTGATTATATACTGTATCAAATATAATATGAATAAAGCTAACAAACAAGGGAAACAATGATGATCTGCTGTAGAACTGATTTATGTATTTGTACATCGACACACATGTCACATCTTTGAATGCTGAATGACACCAACTAGTGATAAAATGTCTGAAATGCAACTTTCAACTTGTAATTTAAGACAGTAAAGTTTAAACAAATCCTTAGTTTTCTGCTGATGTAGACTAAAGAAATAATTAGGCAGCGTTGTTAACAGACAGAAATATGATACCTGTCACATGTGAAAGCACAGTAGTGTAGCTGCAGGGCATGTCTGACTGACGCCTCAACTTAAGTACATAAATTACCTTGAGTCTCATACCTGTGTGGTTGGATGAACATCTCGCAAAAGTGTCAGTAAAACGAAAGAGATGTCAACTCAAGAATACATTTACACAAGAGCAGGCTTGCAGTTTTGAATGTCTCAGTACAGGTCAAACATCTCTCTTTGAGGACATCTGATGTCAAGGGGGCACAAGACAGGAAAGAAAGTTTTTACCAAAATTTTGTGTTTTGAACACCTTCTCAAATTTCCCTGTCACCTTTCTTTAATCACCTGACAGTAACTGACACGTGGGACAAAATCTGTCAACATTAGACACAAACACTGCACTCCTCTACCTTTCTGTCCAGTCAGTCTGTCTGCAGCTGCGTTAAAACAGCACAACTGGACTGGTGTTTGCCAAACATTTCCATATCGGTTTTCCACATGCTGAACTATTGTTTGTATCCTACGTCTTTTCTCCAATTCAGGATTTGATTGATTATATAGGAAAGATGCAGGACAAGCAGGCAGCTCTGTCAGAATTAAAGCCACAGGTATTTGGCTACTAAATGGGTTGTGCTACATAACAAAAATGGCCAAATGTTCTGTCTCACTAACCAGCCAAGGGCTGCACTGCAGTCTCACCTACTTAATATCACTGTGGCCCTGTTTTCACTGTCCTGTTTTCTGTGGAGGAAGCCTAATTTCATCTTTGAATGCCAAATTTATGTATGCTGAACTAGGTAAAGGTACCCGATTTCATCTTTGAATGCCAGATTTATGTATGCTGAACTAGGTAAAGGTAACATAGATGTTCTTTTCCTGCAGTTTAATGCAGCTACATGACAAAAGTAAAAGTTTCTGCCACAGTTTGTCAAAATATTAAAAGTAGTGCAGCCATTCAAATATCCGTTTAGTTTTACTGTACATTAATTTGCTTACAAGCAAATGGGACTAGAACAAAATTAATTATACTTTCAATTTAATATTCAACAGAGCACAGGCTCCTTTTTAAGGGCTGATTATTTTTAAACAACATTTACATTATGTATCGGTGTGTGTACTTGGTATCATGTAGGTTTAGCGGCTGAGGGGTGTTGACATGTTGTGTTAGATGCAAGATGACAGGATCCTGCTGGCAAGGGAATCTGATATCATTCGATCCCAGCTCACTGGCCTTTCAAGTGGAAACCAAATTAAAGTGAAAATTCATGCAGCATTTGATCAGACTGACTGGACTTGAGTATTGGTACCATGGAGCGGTTTGACAGCGGGGCAGTCAATATCTCAGAGGAGGTTCACAGCTGACCTTAAGTGTTTTGGTGAGAGATGAACTCAAGCTGAAACAAGTGAGAATAAATAAGTCAGCTGGGAGGGAAATAACAGTACCATGAATAAAATGAATGATCGTTTTGTTCCCTTTAAATACAGTGTGCATACTACATCCACAGAAAACTGAGTAACCATGAATGTTCTAGATCAACACACTTCAGATAATGAATCTGACTTCTGCAGTGTTCATTTAAGATGCATTTTTATTTTTTCAGTCTACTTAAAGTAGAGGAATGCTGAACCATTCAGTCTCAGTTGTTCAGTCCTTTCACACCTGTCAACAGCCATATTTCCTCAGCCATGTACAGTATGAACCTCTTAAATCCAGTTGTAGCAGGTTTTTTCACAAATCTGCTCTTCAGTGGCAGCAAATCAGAAGTGTCAACATATTCTTTCAACACAAATCATTTTGTGATGTTTCTTATTTGGTTAAGCTTTTTCACTGGATTTCTTTCTGAATGCTGCCTTTGATTTTCATTAATTTATCTTATTCTCTGTTAATAAAAAAGTACAACTCCTGCAGATATTTTGTCTGCAGAGAGTGTTGTCTTTGGTACTATTTTATCCATCCATCCATCCATTTTCCTCCGCTTATCCGGGACCGGGTCGTAGGGGCAGCAGTTTAAGCAAAGATGCCCAGACTTCCCTCTCTCCAGACACTTCCTCCAGCTCCTCCGGGGGAATGC